ATATATATATCTTGATCTAACATTGAAATGTCATGTAAATTCAGGGTATGCAGTGACACTGCCGTGGACAACAAGAATGAAAATCGCATTCGGAGTAGCAAAAGGCCTGGAGTTTCTACATGAATCAGAAAACCCTGTCATATACCGGGATTTTAAGGCTTCAAATATCCTGTTAGATTCTGTTAGTACCGTGTTTGTGTTCATGATTAAGTATTTTAATGTCTTCTCATGAAGACTAATGTCAATTTCAATTGTTTAATTCTCCAGGATTACAAAGCAAAACTATCAGATTTCGGTCTAGCAAAAGACGGTCCAGAAGGAGATGACACACATGACTGGTATCACAAGTTGATTATATTTTTTAAATGTATTTAGGTATATTGGTATATGAATTTGGTGAAAGAGCTAAAATTAACTTAATTTTTATCTTTTTTTTCAGGGCATTTGACGGCTATGAGTGATGTGTATAGTTTTGGAGTGGTGCTTTTGGAGCTTCTAACAGGAAGGAGGTCTGTGGAGAAGAACCGCCCTCAGAAAGAACAGAACCTGGTAGAGTGGCAAGGCCAATGCTAAATGATCCCCGGAAACTAAACCGGTTAATGGATCCTAGACTTGAAGGGCAGTACTCTGAATCAGGGGTACGAATGGCTGCGGCACTGGCTTACCAATGCGTGAGTCACAGGGCTAAGCACAGACCTACAATGAGCACTGTGGTGAAGATCTTGGAGCCCCTCCAGGAATGTGATGACATTCCCATTGGAACGTTTGTCTATGTAGTTCCCATGGGGAGTGACATCCAGAAGAAGAGTGTAAGGGAATGTGAAACTAAGAAGGAAGCGAAGGAGGAGAACAGCCACCACCGCCATCACCACCAGAAATCGCGCCAAGATCTCCACCTCAGAACGGGTTGAATTCTCCATTGCACCCCAAAGACAAGGGAGCATAGAGTGCTTACTAAAACATGGTACTTCAGCCAGAAACTGCAAGTCCCAGATTGTAAACAGGCATCGATTATAGGTGTTTCGGTAGCTTCACAATCCAACACCGTTGAAGTCCTTAGCTGCTTCCACACCTGAAAATCCCGAGGTTGTTTCCTCGGGGAAAACACTCCGACGCTCAAGTCAGCAATACTCAAGGATCTAGAGAGAGAAGCTCTCAAGGAGTAATTGCAGAGAGAGAAGCGTAGAGATTAATTACCTTCTTTGGAGGTGGTTGGGGAGTATTTATAGCCCTAAGTACTGACATGTATCTGCACATGTAAGCCTCTCATTGACCCACGTGGCACTGCCCATGTGGGTATGTCTCCTCCTCTTGGGCCTGCGGGTGCGCAGTTGGGCCTGCTGCATATGCCCTAAGAGGGCGTTGGGCCTAATCCCAACAATAGGT